TATATCTCTTTCTCACGAATTTAAGATTGAAATTAAAAAAATCAAAGCGTGTTTTAGTAATATGCCCAGTAGAGTATCTCCTATTAGCTTTTATATTTTATAGATTTTTACTGTTATATTTTATTGCTACAGCCTACAAGTAATACAATAACATATTGTAAACATAAAATTAGAGAAAAAAAATATATTTTTAATATGTATATTGCAATTAAAATATTTTTATCTTTCATTTATATATATATATATACATATACATATATATATTTATATATATATATATATATAAATGAAAGATAAAATTAAAGCATGCAAATATTTTATCTTATATACCACAGAAGACATCTTTAGGAAAATATAATTATATTGCAATTTACTTTGGAAATCTAGTTTTAATATGTATGCCTAACACACATTAAATTTTTTTATTAATTTTTACCTTAAGAATATGCATTGGAGATGCTCTTAGCCTCACATTCTAAATCCACAATACATTTGACATTTTTTTTTTTAAACGATAGATATTTTTTTTTTTCCAATTAAACGATAGATATGAATAGAACAAATAGAGAGTTTTACAACCAATCGAGCAAGAAGCTCAGCTCGAATACCCAAATACAAGGAGGCACGCACACCAACGGCCTAAAAATCAAACCAATCCAACAAAGCTGAAGCAGCCCAATCAAAGCCATAACCTTTGGACTATCAAACATACTAAAACCACACAGACACAATGAAAATTAAGGCATGCCTATTTACCAAATAATCCATTCAAAGTGAGTTATTTTAGTTAACTAGAATTAATTTTAAAAAATAGTAGTATGATTAGCTGTTAGTGAGATTTTAAGAATATATTAGAATGATATTTAAAATAAAATGATTTATAGTGATTTGATATAAAAGTAGGAGATAAATGATTGGAAATGATAGGTAGTTAAAATTATGTGAGTGAATGAATAGTGAATTAAATTTGATGTGATGTATAATAATAATTAGTTTGTATTATTTAATTATATGAATAATATTAAAGATAGTAAAGTTAAGTTAAAACTGAATTAAATTGTGAGTATGAATTAAATGTGAGTAAATTATTTGGTAAACAAGCATACCTTAACTAAGTAGAATCACCAGGTAACCTTTAGAGTTTGGACTATCAAACATACATTTGGCCTTTTACACCACGCAAAATCACCATATTGGTTAAGTGAAGTCTCGCTGACGCTGCCTTGCACACGCACATACATTAGAGCACCCACAATGTTTTGGGTTTCTTTAAAAATCACATGCCATGTAGGAAATATACCTAGTCTATAAAAAAGTGTTTCACAATGTAATTAAAAGTGGACCTAGTCTAGCTTATGTGGCAATAAAAAAAAGAGACCAAGTCCACTCTTGGGTCTATTTTGGACCCAAGTGTGAACCTTATAATAGCAATCATTTACTATTATTATATTTTTATTGGTTGTTAGGTATTCTAGACCTAGTACTTTTTTTTTGCATTGGATAGATTTTGGATTTTTTAGCTTGGGTTTGTCCATTTCATTATAGACTTAAGTCTATTTATTTACCACATATGCAAAAAGAGACCCAAAGCATTGTGGGTGCTCTAATCCACTCTCGCACTTCCCACCAATGACATTTCGCCAGAGCCTATCTTTCTGGATCTATCACACGGCTTCAGAATGGGTAGAGGGGCGAGAACTTTCCTACTAACTTATCGTCAGGTTCCATTAAAAGGTACATATTCCGCTACGGCAAAGTCGATCCTATCCATGGACACTACCCCTATGGGGTTTTTCACCTTAGATCTACACACAATCACACACACACCCACATGGGTGTGTGTGAAATCTAAGGTAAAAAATTCCATGGGGTAGGATGAATTTTTCCTTCCGCTACTACGTTGTCTTATTGGCTCTCCATCACATCACATAAAACAAACCTCCTGATTGGTCCAATGTTTTTTCCCATTTATAGAGACCCATTAAATTTTAAAGGTAAAATGAATTAATAAATGGGGTAAAAAAAAAAACTTGGGCTTTAAATAAATTAGTTACGGCGTGATTTGATATGAGTTATAACTCGTTTTAACCTACTATGATCGATTGGGTTATTTCATATTCTATTATCATATCCTATTATCTAATTTATTCAACTTAATCCAACTCTCATACTTTTTACAAATATAATTAAACAATACCAATGAATCATTCTAATGAAACATATAAACTTTAATTGACACAAAATTTGACTACCTATCACTTCTAATAATTTTCTTCTATTTTTTCATTACATCAGCTTTAATCATTACATTTTAAAAGCTATTTAATTCAAACTCAAAATCATCCAATCAATCTATTTTTTTCTAAATAAAAAAAAAAAAACCCGGTCAAAATTGGTTGGATTCAATTACCTTTAAGAAAAAGAAACAAAGAAGCCTAAGAAAAATCATCGTCGCTCAAAAAATCCCTAATCCCGTCGCCGCTCTTCTCTTCAAAATCCGTCGCCTTCCCTGGTTGGGCCGGCGAGCACACGGTGGTAGCTCCCCTGGACTTCGCGGCCCTTTTCTGTGAAGACGCGCTGATTTGAGGGAGCTTTTTTGCCGGGGAGGTGGTCGCGCCGCGTTCCGGTTCTCGCCTCGGAACTGGAAGTGAGTGGCGGGCGATTGTTCCTCCTCCGGTATCTCCGCTGCGGCGGCCTCCGGCGCTCTTCCGGAGAGGGCTGCGGCCCCAATTTCCCAATCTAGGGTTTGGGGTGGAGACTTGTCCATCCATCTTGTACTTCACGGTTGTTTCGAAGTCGCGGTCGTTGGCTCTGGTTTGGGGCGTTGGTCGGCTCAGGTAACGGACGTTGGGTGGCCCTGGTTCCGGTTGTCGATTTCGTGGTCGACGATCCTAGTTCGGTGCTCGAAAGGCAGGGTTCAGGGTGTCGGTTTGTTGTCGACAAACCTGGTTCCGGTTCTCGGTCGGCGCCTACTGGGCCGGTCTATTTTGCTCGAGGCTCAGACCATTGTTGGTGACTGTTTTGGATGGTGCGTTTTGGTCTCTGGGTGCTAGTGGAGTTTGTTCGACCGGACAAGGGTTGTGCCCGATGGTCCCTGACTCAGTTAGGCGTTCTCTTGCAGTTTCTGGGTCGGGCGCTTGGGTCACTCGGCCGTTGTTGTGCTTGGCGTGATATACCGATTGGGGAGGGGCTTTCGATATTATTTTAGTATAGTGTTCTTTTGTGTGTTTGCTATTTTTGTGGTAGTATTGTGTCTTTGGTCTGGGCGATTCGCCTGTGTGCTTTTGTTCTGTATTTTAGGTTTGGGCCGTTGGCCTCAGTTTGAGCGGGAGCAATTTATTGTCCTGTGGGGACCAGCTCCTGTCTCTATTCTCCTGTGGGGAGCTTTTCGTAGTGTTTGTTGTGTTGTTGTCTTGTGTGTCTTGTTTCGGTTTCTAGTGTTTGCTAGTGTCGGACTTCTAGGCGGTCGTCAGACCTGTCCTTCCATTTTATTCAGCTTTGGGCTGCGTTCCAAGTTGTATCTTTGCACATTTGTGCGTTTGTTATATATATCCTCTATCGTTTTGGCAAAAAAAAATTGGTTGGATTCATACTTAGACTAACACAAAGCGTTCTCATAAAATATGTTGAAGTTGTCTCCTCAAAATTCACTTTCCTATATTTTTAGATTTTCAATTACACCATAAATTCATTACCATGCATGTTTGTATTTATCAGTTCACTATTTTAGAAATTCTGTATTTTATTTTTATGTATAACAGACTCTTTATTATGCATATCTAGTGCCTAGCCTGTGCGATGCACGATGAAATAATAATAACCCATATAAATTAAAGTAGTGAAGAAATCAACTTGTATAAAAAACGTCTTACGCCCAATGGTAAAAATATTTACTAAAAGAAAATAGAAAAAAATATAAAAAGAATATTTAAATAATTTTCATATTAAGTACTAATAATTTGTTTGGCGGAAAAATCTTACTATTTCAAGTAAATACTCCCTCCTATTTTTATTATTTGTCATTCTGGCTTAATTGATCATTTGTTAAATAAATGTCGTTTTGGCTATTTTGTACATATTTTTCCATTATTACCCTCATCTAACTAATAAATACATTACGTCTTTTCATATTCACTCTTCATATTTTTTCAAAACATCAATCTCTATCCTCATTAATGAAGGTTATTATTGACAAAAAAATTATTCTTAATTATTGTGCAATTTCTCAAAACGATATTTATTAAAAATAAGAGGAAATACTAAATATAAACCTTTTATATATAGAGAGATTCTACATGTTATATTTTAAATTAATTAAACGTTGTATTTTGATGGATAAGTGACAAATTGTTAACAAAAGTAATTTTAATTTCGATATAGATCCAATATAAACGTCATTAACAACGTATTTGTGATGAAAACTCAATAATTGAGAAATTATAGAGACTCAAATAGTTACCATACATAAAACCCACACACTCATATCCTTTTGCCCCATCCTAGATCACCATTTTTCCCTCTTTTTCTTCACTCAACTTTTTATCTTCCATTTTGTCTTCTTCACTTTCACTATTACCCAACCAACTTATATTTGGTGAATAAGGTAATATTAATAAAAATAATTAAAACTAATTTGACCTTTAAAAATAAAAGGCCAACCTCATTTTAAAAAAGTTGGAACTTAGATACACATACATAAAAAGCCATGTTGACTCCTTGAAAATAAAAGGTCAACTCCATTTATTGAAAGCTTAATAATTTAAAGAACAAAGATAGCATAAAATTATGGTAGTCAACAACTATATTGTTTGAATAAATATTATATACTTTCAAATTAAAATATCACTTAAAAGTCAAATAAACAAAAACATACTATTTTATTATACTATCAAATGTTATATTTTTTACTTATGACATTTTTTAAAATATAATATTTTTTAATGAAATTATGCATATTTATAAATAAATGTATATCGATTTAATGAATATACCGGCCTAACAAAAAACTTGAGGAAAGAATATGAGAAAATGAGAATTGATTGTTCTCCTTTTATCTTAATTTGGAACCCTAATTAGAATGCGTTTACTTTTGGAGTGTCTTTTAAGGTGTTTTGGTGAGAGCTATGAACAACAGACACTTGTCGACACCAGAAATGATCGAGCCGCCGAAGAAGAAGGAAGCGCCACGATCGCTCTCTCTTTCTCTCTCTACCTATTAAGGTAAATTTCGATTTCCATCTCTCTCTTCCTGCTTTCTCTATCTACAGCTACCCCTTTCCTCTTTTGTCAATTTCTATTTTTTTTAAGATTCCGGGTATTTTTGTGAAAAAGAAAAAAATTGTTAATCCCAGATGAGAGATGAAGTTGGATGAGATTACTTTGTTTATTTATTTATTTTTTGTTTTTAAATCAAGCGATCTGGAGATTTTATCAAAGTGCTTTTGCTTTTTGTTTGATTCTATTTTATGTTTTGTGAAAATTTATGGGCTGAACGAGATTGAAGGGATAAATTAGGGTTATTGCCGTTGGTGTATGATGGTACCCTGAAATATCAAGTCCTCTTGTTTCTTGTGTATGGTTTGGTTTTTTGAGCTGAAAATGAGCTCCCTTAAAAGTAAAAAGCGAAAGACGAAAATAAACTGTGCAGATGATTATGTAGAGGATTGGGTTTTGGATTTCAGGGATCCCTTTTATTGACTGAGGATTACTAAAGTATGTATGTGCCGATCGAGCAAGTGTAGTTTTCAAGATTATATTCTGATCTTAGTTAGAGATGCCTTTTTGTGTGCGTGTGTGTGGACGTTTTGTTAAGGTTCTAGACTGAGACCTCGATTAACTGTGAGATGTGTATTAATGGTGAACAAAATAGAGTGTGAGAACACATGCGAAAAAGCCTACGTGGACACTACCCGCATGGTTATGATGGAACTCTCTGTGCATTAATAATGGATTACTTACATGGTTAACCTTTGGTGGTTTTTATTGAAAAATAGAGTTGTTTAACTCTCTGTTTTCAACTGAAAGCTTCCTTGCTATGTTTTTGTGAAGTCTTTAAAGCTAAGCATTGAGCTGTCTGTGATATCCATATCGCTGCCTGGTATAAGCTTGGAGGAAAATTTACCAACAAAATAGCATCACTTTGTGATAGTTGTTTATTTTGTTATTTTTCCTACTCTGCCTTTACACCTATATGTATTATGGACATCAACTTTTACTATTCCAACTATGAATAACATATAAAAAAAGTGAATTAGATACGGGTGCTTCCCTCTCTCATTGGATAATTTATTCACTCGAAATGGAAGCAGACACCTTTGTTTTGGTCTGGCATAAGAGGAGAAGAAGCCTATATTTGGCGGACGGAATGGAGGGAGTGTATTTTTCTTAATACACAATGTGTTCTGTTATTAGGTTTTAATGTTGCCTCCTTTTATCTCAGGTTTTGGGTTCTTTTTTTTCTAATGTTCTTTTGTCCAGTGTCTCAGCTTTTGAAAAAGTAAAGTCTCCAAAAGAACTTTGAAGTCCAAGCACAATCTTTTTCAAGGTGTGATTTTTTTGCTTGGTTCATAGCCAGAGCTTGTTCTTCCTTGTTTCGGTTTTTTCAAACAACAAAATATTTGGCAAAGAAATCCATCTTTAGATTCCTTTTTTCTTGGTTTTATACTTACCAATTGTGAACCTCTTCAGCTAGTGGCTCCACCTTTCGTCTTCTCCTAACCATGGGCTCTTACATGAACTCCAAAAACCTTGGGGGGGATGCCTCTCAACTGGATGGGAGGACAGCTGTCAATCTCCCGTTGGCCCGCCAATCTTCCATATACTCCCTCACATTTGACGAGTTCCAAAATACCCTTGGTGGACCTGGGAAGGATTTTGGGTCCATGAACATGGAGGACCTTTTAAAGAGCATCTGGACAGCCGAAGAGAACCAGACATTACAGCCAAAGAGTAGTGAGAATTTACAGCGGCAGGGCTCTCTTACACTGCCACGTACACTTAGCCAAAAAACGGTCGATGAAGTTTGGCGAGACGTTTTGAAAGAAACCGTAGGCGTAAACAGTGGGGGTTTGTCTTTGGGTCAAAGAGAACCAACTTTGGGCGAAATGACCCTTGAAGATTTTTTATCCAAGGCAGGGGTCGTTAGGGAAGAAGTCCAACTTCCCGAGAGACCAAACGGGGTTTATTTATACGGTGCGCCAAATGGGAATACGAACACTTCAGGTTTAACCATGGGATTTCAACAACAGCCATTGCAAAGTAATCTCGCCGTGTTGACCATTCAACAGGTGACAACAACAGCTTCTCAACCGCAACTGCAGCCTCTATTCCCGAAGCAATCAACCCTCACGTTTTCGTCACAGTCGACACAAATCGGAAGCAACATTCAGCTCTCGAGATCATCCCGTGCAAAAGGAGGACCGAAAAATGTCGTGAATAATTTGTACGATGCTGATGGCATAGTGAAGAGCTGTGTAGCAGACACGCCCTCGTCTAGTTCGCCTCCTCTGTCTTACAATTTCGAGGAGGTTGGGAGGGGAAGGAGGTCGAACAGTTCTTTGGAGAAAGTGGTGGAGAGGAGGCGTAAGAGGATGATCAAGAACAGGGAATCTGCCGCTAGGTCACGAGCTAGAAAGCAGGTTTTGTGTTGAATTTTGTTTTTTTTTTTCTTGATTGTTGGTACAGTGTGCCAGTAGGTGTGAATGAAGTTAGTGATTTTAGCGGAAAATTTGCAGGCGTATACTCTGGAGCTGGAGGCAGAGGTGGCGAAGCTGAAAGAAATGAATGAGGAGCTGAGGAAGAAGCAGGTAATTTATTTAATCATTTATTTTATGGTGGAATTGGATGAGGTTGAAATTGGTTGTCAATTGTTTTGATGGTGGTTTATATTATGCCTGATGCAGGAGGAGTTTATGGAGATGCAGAAAAATCAGGTACTTGATTTATCTCAACTTGTTTGTTGTCGTGGTTTGGATGTGCTTATTATTATTCATAATTCTTATTTGTAGTATGGTTAAATAATGACTGTTCTAGATAGTTAAGTTGAGGTGCCTATCGTCATATTCGTTTTCTATGTATACCAATGATTCATATCACTAGCACCAGACCTGACCTGAAAGAAAGACTGCTAGTATATATTAGTTATTTTTTTTGCACCAAAACTCACAGTTTTTGCGCCATTATATAACTGAGTTTTGAAATTTGCAAAAGGAACGTGACTTCAATTTTGCAAGTCGAGTCGATATTGATGTTATCCGGTGACTTTCATTTCGTGTGGCTTCTGACTGGAGGATGATGTGCCACGTCAGATGCTGGTCACCTTAGTCTTGATACAATTCGCAAGTTGTATTTGTCAAGTTTCAAAAGTCGTGATTAAATTGCAAAAAACGAAATCATGATGATTTTCTTGGTGCAAAAGTGCCAATTTATTATTACGTCTATGGATCAAAGATTTCTGTTCACTTGACCGTAATGGAAAGCCCAAACGAGCACATGACCATAAAGAAAGAAATAAACTTCTGCATACATTGGTTCAACACTGGTGTTTTTTGTGATCATATTGATAATCTTTTGTGTCCGTTCGTTCTTTCATCTTCGAGGATCCTTTCTTTTTTTTTGTTCATTTCTTTTTTGGTCCACAGATCCTGGAGAAAATGAATAAGCCCTGGGGAGAAAAAAGAGTATGCTTGAGGAGGACGCTAACTGGGCCTTGGTAAACTCCAAGCACAAACTTCAGCCAAACATAATGATCTCGACTGATATATTTATGTACAGAAGCAAAACGAGTGTTGTGCCATATATAGATGCACCACTATATATATTTTTTTTCGGTATTGGTCCGTGTGACTTTTGTGTTTGCTGTGGACTTCCTAGTTTGATGCTCGGTAATATTATGATACTTTAGCTAGAACTTAGACTAGTTATCAATTAGAAAAACCCTTTGAGTGAACTCTTTGGCTTAGTGTTGTTGTGTGTGACGGGCTTTATTGATTTTGCGATCGTGTGATGTATTTACCATGTGCTTTCAAGTTTTGGTCTTGGGAAGCTTTTAGTCAATGTCACTTTAGGTAAATGGAGCTTTCGGTATTATGGCTGGTTTTTTGACTCAGCACCTACAAATTTTTCAAACATGTGACTAAAGCAAAATAGTGATAAGAGTATGATGTGTGATTGAACAAAAGTTTTCAGGAAAAAAGGGAAGAAAATGTGATTGAACATTACTTTTTGGTTTGTGGATGGAAGATACTGTGTAGCNTTCTGTTATTTTATAAGCCGGTCAACTATTGTAATTTCTACTAATTGGCCATTTTTTTAAATTATTATTCTACTGTCACATCCTTAATAATAATAATACAATATTTCTATATTTTTTTGCTTGATATGCAATTGTAACATATATCATTATGCATTTACTATAATAAATAAATTTTGATGCTTTTTTAAATTTGATACTTTTTGCAGGAATTATGTAAAATTTTAAGTTTAGAGGTGGAATTTGAAGCGAAATTTCGTATTTCGTTTTTTCTTTTGATACCTCAAGAAATCTTATTAGGTTTTAGCAAATTCTAATTTAGATAAGTTAAAAATACCTCAACCTCAACATTTTGTATGACTTTTAAAATTTCAAAAGAATACTTTTATATTTTTAAAAGTTTTAAAAAATCTAAATAAAATACACCAAAATTTATAATAACTCAAAACTTAAATTTATGATAACTCAAAACTTAACATGTTTCTCTATTAAAATAATACTACCTCTTATCTGTCATTTTTGCTTTATTAACTATTAATCAAATAAATGACATTTTGGATTGTTTGTAGTACATATTTTTCCATTATTACTCTCATTTAGCTAATAAATACATTGCCTCTTTTCACATTCAATCTTCATCTTTCCTCAAAACATTCATCTCTATCTTCATTAATGAGGGTTATTATTGACAAAATTTTTTTTTAGAAAAATGTCTCTATCTTCATTAATGAGGGTTATTATTGACAAAATTTTGTTTTTTCAAGAGAAATGCCACTATAGCAGCGTGTATATATTTTAGGGAAAGACTATCGTCCGGGGTTATGGATCCATTCCATATGCTTTCCCTATATTTTGTTATCTTAATTATTGGATGTAAAATTTAAGAAAATATTACAAACATAATTGACAACCCATCACTCTCATTTGGAACTCAAAGCAGAATTTGTTTCTACTTAATTCTTGTCGCCATCACCAACCCAAAGAACGAAAAACACGTGCTTTATTTGCTCAATAATCCACCACGCGTTAACATCAATCAATTTTGTCTCCTCTGCTCAAGACCCATTTGATCTTGCGTTTGGCGAATGCGTATTTCGTGTAAATTATACACGGATCGCGCTTTATTCGTCAAGATCTTCCGATATATCAACTGGGTTTTTGTAATTTCGTTTTCCGTCTCTAGCTCGAAAATGGCCGCTTCGTGTTGCTCCTCTGCAATCCTCTCGCTCCCCCGCACGCCAGCTCGACGTGGGGTGGTTTATCCGAATTCCGCTGGTCCCCCGCGGTTAGGTCGCCGATTTGGGCTTTCGTTTCGGGCTCAGAGGAGGCCCGAGGCTCGAAAATCCGTACGTGTTTCCTGCATTGGCGATAATCGCGAAAGTAAATATATATGCCTCAAGAATTTATTTGAAATTGTTGCTTGTTTTTTATTATTGGGTTATTCTGTCGGATTTGGTATTTCCTTTGCTTTTTTTAATTGATTCATGATCTGAAGATTGTTTCCTAATTAGGTCGATGGGTTTTGATTTAGGCGTTTCTTGTTCTTTCTTTTTTTACATATTCTTTTGGTCTGGTGATATTTTATGCGTTTGTTAAATTAACAGATGTGTTTGCTGTAATATTAGTTAGAAAGATTTCATTTTGAGCCTTTCATGAATGAATAAGCACTTTCATATGAATCAATATTCATTTCACGGTTGTCTGTTACTATCTTTGTTACGATTATTGATTTAGCATTTGTAATAATCTGCCCCCACAATGAGTGTGAGATAGCTGGGATTCACAAGATCTATCACTCGGCTCGAAATTGACGAAAAATTGATGATTGATGATAGAGACCATGTATCCAAGAAAGAAAAAAGAAAACACATGCTGAAGTTCCTATTTTCTCCTGTCAGCTTGTCTTTTCTCATTAGTTACAAAGATTTCATTTGAGCTATTCATTAATGAATAGGCACTTTCATATGACTGAATATTAATTTTACCGTTGTCTGTTACTATCTTTGATACGGTTATTGATTTAGTATTGTAATAATCTGCCCCCTCAATGAGTTGGAGATAGCTGAGATTCACAAGAACTATAACGCGACTCAAAATTGATGCTTCAGAGAGTTCGGAACGTTTTATGATATGCAGTGTTGGAAATTGCATGTAACGAGCTTGGACTTAAAAAAGGCTCTTTTGCCATATTCTTATTGCCGACATTGTTAGCATTTTCAAGGTCAAATCTTTAATTAGCAAATTATTTCATTTTTACAACTAAAGAATACCAGCCAAATCTGAAATTAGGCAACGTGGTAGACTTGAACTCGTGCATTCATTTTTTTTCTCCCCTTAATATTGGTAGATTGATTCTTGTGCTGAGATTTTCATACATAGAGTGCTTATAGACACAGAAGTATATAGGCGTTTTTGAGTTGGGGGAGACCTGAAAAAGGGGTGTGTATTTTTTTTAAAGGGAGGTGTGTTCTTGAAATTCCGAATTGTTTGCTTCATTTATTGTGTAAAATTAATCGCAATCTGAAAGTACATATATATATATTTTTTACAAAAATTATTCCGTGTTGTTAACTCTTACTCTAATAAACACACTCATGCAACTTCTTTTAATCCATCCAACTCTTCTTGCAAATATTACCAATTTTCTATTGTTGTTGTTGTTGTTGTTTTTTTTTTTTTTTTTTTTATTTTTGTTTAAGATGCCCATCATTCACATCCAAANTTGCGTTTACAAATTTTTTTTGAGCGCGCAGCTGCTGTGATTACGAGCAAGTCATGGGACAAACTGATTCTAGAAAGTGAAATCCCTGTGCTAGTTGAGTTTTACGCCAGCTGGTGTGGGCCCTGCCGCATGGTCCACCGAGTAATCGACGAGATATCAACCGACTACTCGGGAAGATTAAAATGCTACGTCCTTAATGCCGACAATGACCCAGAAGTCGCGGAGGATTATGATGTTAAGGCTGTGCCAGTTGTCTTGCTGTTCAAGAATGGCCAAAAACTCGATTCTGTTGTTGGAACCATGCCTAAGGAGTTCTATGTGGCTGCCATTGAGAGGGTTCTCGGTTCTTAAGATTCGGCTCATCATGAATGAACCATTATATGGTGAATAAAACTATTTTTCTCTTTTAACAATCGATGGAGTATTTTTGCTTCCCCTATTGAATTTGTTCGATATTTTGTATATTCACATGTTCTCCTACTACAAGTGTGCAGTTTGGATGCTATCTGTGGTGAAAAGAGGAAAAAACTATGTTATTATTCCTCTGTCCTTATAGCAACATTTTTGAACTTTTTTTTGCCTCTTTTTTGTGTACAGAACTCGATTTCTCTTTTTGTTCAAGAATCTTTATGAGCATGCATCGATCTTTCGCTGCCTAGTTTTTGTTATCGAGATATGCTACAATTGTACGACTATAAAAGAATCTTGATACCGGTTATTCGATTAGGTGGTTATTTATGGTGTTTCTGATTTGACATACATTTGGTGGTGAAATGTTTTCTGTGCATGTGATGTTATATTAGAATGAAGAATGTTTGTTAAACACTTAAACCATAGCATGAAATTTCAATTAGCTCTTTGTATCTGAGAGTAGTACTTTGATCATTTGAAGTGAGGGACACTCTCATAGATATCATGAATAGCAATATTTTGAAGATCCTTTTAAAGAAAAGGAAAAACAAAAAAAGAAAGAAACAGAGACTGTGATTGTTCTGTGTACAGACGAGCTAAGCCGAGTCGAGCATTATAGACGAGCTAAGCCGAGTCGAGCAATGCTCTTATCAAGCCTGAGCTCAATTTTTTACTGGTGTCCAGCTTTGAGATTTGGCTCGAATTTAAGAAGAATTTTGCTTGATTTTAACCCAAACTTGACTTTTTTTTTTTGGGCAAATGGCAAACTTAACTCGAGTAAAGGATATTTAGGTAATTAAGCACATGTCGAGCGGTTGGGCTTACAAAATACAAGCTCGAGCTCGGTTCGAGTTCCACTTCGTGGTTCTCGAGCTCGGTCAACCTCAAGCTTAAGTCGAGCTTTGACTCGAGCTCCGCTTGACTCCTCTGTATAATAATGTGATGGGCCTGTAGCAATTCACAGGTAAAAATTTCAGCAGATCTCAGAGATTATTAGATAAGATTAACCTTCACCATGGAGATAAAAAATAAAATGAAATTATCTCAATCGCATTCATTCTTTGGTTAACAAAAAAATGAATGTTATGCCAGGACATACATCTGAAAGACTGAAGCAATAAGAACTACGGAGTGAAATCAAAAAGATTTGAAGAACTTTCTCCCTTCTTAATCAGTGGAAATATGAACGAACTTAAAGAAGTCCCCTTTTCTACACTTTAAGAGTCAAACAAGCTCACTCAACAATAACCACACCACAAACCACTCCAATATACGGCTAAATTCTAAAGAGACGGTGTGTTATGAGGCGACTGAGGAGACCCCATCTCCAGCAAAAAACTTCTACTACAATTCGATCGAGTTGTGCTCGACGAGGAGTTCGCCAAAAAAAAGACATTTTTACCCCTGTTCTTCGTTCCCCGACTCTCATTCTCTTCGAACTCTTCATCTTCCACGGCCTCCACAAACCCACTGTGCAACGGGTCGAAGCTCTCATACAAAAGCCTCAACACCTGTTTTATTGAAGGCCTGGACCTGCCTTCTCTCTGCGTGCACCATCTAACGAGCGTTAAGACGGTTTGAAGCTGGTCAAATTCGAACGAGTCCCCAAGGTAGGGGTCAGCAAGCTCGGTTATCCTCGACTCTGGTGTGAAGTAGGCCTGGGCCCACTCGACTAGGTTCTTGTTGTCTTGTACGGCCCGTTTACCCGTGACAAGCTCCAGCAAAACGACCCCGTAGCTGTACACGTCACTCTTTTCGGTCAGCTCGTTCGTCATCACGTACTCTGGGTCCAGATAACCTGACAAGAGTTTATGTTCTTTTAGGCTGTGTTTGGTAAGCAAGCTAACTTATAGGTTATTTGATTATTAGCTTATAAACTTCCTAGTTTTGCTATGAAGCCAACAGTTGGCTCCATAGTGGAGCCAACCTTCTATGTACAACAAATAAACCATACCATATTAATAAAATTATTAGTATTATTTAATTAATCAACAAATAAACCCTACCATATTAATAAAATTATTAGTATTATTTAATTAATCAGAGAACTTGTTGTACATAGAAGGTTGGTTCCACTATAGAGCAAATTGTTGGCTTCATAGCAAAACTGATAAACTTCTTGTATTTAAATAAACTTGGTTTGGTAGGACGGACTTTTTTTACAAAGCTCGAGCTTGTCTCATAAGGTTCTTTAGGTAGCTTTTCAAATAAGCTCGTTGAAATTTTTATTATAGCTAGCTTATTATCAACTAATTTTACCAAACATTTTTATCATATAAGCTAGCTTTTCAACTGTAAGTCATAAGCTATAAGCTCGGAAATCACTAATAATCTATAAGCTAGCTAGTTTTACCAAACATAACCTTCATCTCTTCATTCAGAGATTTCATGCAGGGAGAAAAAAGATGCTCATTTCAAGAAATTATTTTTTTTTAAAGTGAATAAACAGTTAACCTTTAATATTACAAATACCCACTTAACGTTTGTTGTTTCTGCCTTATGGGATCTTATTGAAATCTTAGAAGATCAACAAGAGATTTCTGTAATGGGGCTAAACTTTCTGGGCTAGTTTATTCCTTTAAGATAACTCACTGACCTGGAGTCCCTCGTATATCTGTGTTTACGGGTTCGAAGCAAATGGAACCATCTTTTGACGCGTGCACAAGGCCAAAATCAGCAACCTGGGAGAGATGGTAAAATTTATGTGTATTTTGAATATATGAATGGGACCAAGGCTTTTGATGAATTACAAACAATTAGTTGGCCACATAAAAGACACGAGTTAATTAAAATGTTAATGCATGTCTGCCTTCAGCTAATGAAATGTTTTACCTTAGCCACAAAGTTTTCGTCTAGTAGTATATTGCTCGATTTGATATCTCTATGGCACAAAGGAGGATCACAGTAAAAATGGAGGTATTCCTGCATGAAATATGAGTTCGTTGAGTTTAATTATAAAAAAATTTAGGATACTATAAGGAATAAGTGTTGGTCATAGATGATCCTGGAATTTACCAGTGCATTTGCTACATCAATGGCAATTTGGATTCTTGCACGCCAGCTGAGAGGACTTCTCCCTTGTGCTGAACATAAAGAAATTTTTAAGTATATTTGAGGGCCGTGTAACTTTTTGTTTTGCATTCAATTAAGTATTTTGAGAACATGCAATATTAATTCCCTTTCAGGTATGATTTGATTCTCCTGAAAATTTCGCTACTCTTCGATAGATACTAAACCATTATACAAAAAAATAAAAACATGGAGAAAATAAACATAATAGCATACTGTGGAGATGATCCTTTAAGCTTCCATTCGCCATAAATTCATACATTAGAAACCTGTGATCGAATAAATTGCAGGTATTAGTTTCCTTAATGTAAATGGAGCGCACATTCATCTTTCTCTGCTAAAAAAAGATAATAGAATGAGAAAGAAATACGAGTACCTCTCACGCCTTTCCATACAGAAGCCTCTGAGAGCAACAAGATGGCGATGATGTAGTCGAGCAAGAAGCTCTAATTCCCTGCAAAATTCATCATTTGCCTGCTCTGAAACTTTACTCATCCTCTTAACTGCTGCAACTAAACCATCTTGAAACTCACCCTTGTATACAACTCCAAATCCCCCTTGTCCAATAACAGTGCTAAAGTTATTTGTAGCTTTCTTTGTCTCTCTGTAGCTGAATTTTCTGAACATACAGGGGGGACCTTGAAGTAATTTGTACAATACACAATCAATAGAATCAGAATATGCATACATAACTTCGTTACACCAAACTAAAAGAACAATGGGATTGTTTCACAAATAATTCCATCTTGAGGGTGCTACAATATCAAGGAGTATATGTAACTCAAAGGTTCGAAAGATATGCATTTCTTGTAACAGTTAGTTACAAGTACCACTGAGGTTTGAACTAATTACTAAAAAAAATGTTACAACTTCAAAATTGAGGGAAAAAAAAAAAGAGCAAGAATGATACAGCTCCTTTCACTTTCATAAATAGTCACCAGTTAGCCCATTAATCATAACACATTTAATTAAAACATAGGGAAACTTTTGCAATGTTGAAAAAGTTGGCTTTAATCTTTTTTTCTTTTTAAAAATTGGGTCAAACCTTGATGCATTGTTTGCAGCCATCCCTTTTTTCTCAATATTTAGACTAAACTTCAGGGCAGTTTTCTCAAGTTTCCTGAAAAGAAGATCAAAGGAGAAACAATGACATACCATCCTGAAGCTTTCTAGATTGAAGAGCAATGGCCTTTGGGGATGTCTCATCATTTAAATCGGAGTCATCCACCAGCTCTCGGCTTTTCCTCCGAATGAGGACAACTAATACAGCAACCATTGTGATAGCAAGTGCTGTAACTGCAATACCAATGCCTGGGACCACTGTGAGGTGGTAGTGTTGGCGATTTTCCTTCGCAGTCGAGATTAAGGAAAGCTGAGTTGGACTAGCAGCAACTGGTGGACTGGCAGATAATTCAGTTGAATTTGAGGAAGAACCTAAAATTTAGCAGAAAAGAGTTTTTAGCACAATAAAGTGCACTAAAATGCTGCATTAAATTATGTGAATAATATTCAGTATGTTCATTGCATAACCCAAAGTCTTAGAAAGTAGCTATTGGATTCATATAGGCTTTAGCCCAATCTGATAACTTCTTACTGCACTTCAAAACGACAGTCGAAAAGCTAAACATATAGGTTTAGTCATAGTTTCAAGTATCAAGTTTCAAGTTTCAAGTTAAATTAAAATAGCCATGTTTTGAGACAAAAACATACCAGGAGGGAAATATCCCCACTCATAAGCAGCCTACTACACGCACAAATAAACAATAAACAACAACAACAATGACAACAATTTACCCTGAAAAGACTAACCTGTTAAAGTTATAAGACCCTGAACCCCAAAAAAACAGCCAGCGATGTCAATAGTCGACGAGTAATCAACTTGGCTGGCAATGGCAGCAAAAGTTGCATCCCTACATGTGCTCAACGTCACATTGTCCACTGGCCCCAGTAGATTTCGGAGATAAAGAATGCCAGCATTCAAGCATTTTCGACAGGCTTTATCGGCCGAAAGAGGCGCCTTGCAATTTTCAGCAACATCACTGAACTTTGGAGATTGAAGCATCTGTGTAACGGTCGTCCGGCCCTGGCAGTCATAGTTCATAGGTATTTTTGTCCCGAACCCACAGAAAACCGATGCATTCTGTCTCACTCCGTATAGCTTGAAAGTTTTGGATATTGTCTGGAGGCAGGTATCAGATAAATATGGAGATACCCCGAGATTGCTTGTTGTGTTTGCATACCGGGAAATGGAAATTGCTATCAAGGCATTAATATAACGACAACACATTCCTCTATCCTCTTGGTCGGAGCAAAGGGAAGCAGCCAGAGAAAAATTTGACCCACTCAAGTTCAATGGGCAATCTGCATTGTGAGGGGATAACAGATAATCGTTATCACGAATAATACACTTACAATGTAACTACAAGTCTACAAGGCTTACTCGAGGATTATTCATTAACTATAATGCTCTGACGAGCTAATCACACACCCCTAGCCCTTTTTCTGCATCAAAATTACAAACACGGCTAGCAGCATTTTTGCCGATTTTGATAAGCACATATTGAACAAACTACTATTGCCCATGCCCAAAATGCTACGGTCGAATTCACAAAACGCTCTCCGAAAAACCAACAATGTCCCATTACCTTTTGATTATCATTTTTCAATCACATTGGTCATAAATCCCTATTTCATAACACTACAACCAGATGCCTTTTTTCCCAAATGCACAACAAAACACAACATAACATCAACTTAACAACTCGACAACGGTACTAATTAAGCAGCAGCGCCATTATCGTTTACGAATCCGAACGCTCTGTAAATCAGTGCAAAATCAAGATACTAAATGAACTGAAAAAAAAAAAACAAAACAAAAAAAACGGAGCCACCTGCTCAGCTTACCACATAACCAGCACATGCAACCAATTTAACACGAAATCAAGCCAAATATTTCAAAAATAATCGAATGAAGCTCGTTTTTCTTGAACTAAGCAGTTAAGACAAGGAAAAAAATACATTAAAAATAGTTAACCACTTCAGCTCACCTGTAGCAGCCGGCGTCGAAGAGAGTCGCACACCGAAAACAACCGCCGGTAGCAGCAGTAAACCGAGCAATGCCGCTGGTCCAAGAGGCGCCATGGGAGAGGAGTCTAAGCACACAGTGAGTGGAGTTTTCAGCAGCGGCGCATTTTAGCGCATTGGGCAGCGATCGAGGAGTTTTCTTTTCTTTTCTTTTTTTTCCCCTCAAAAATAAAAGTTGATAATCCTTGTTGTTTTGAAGTTTTGTGCTCAGATGTGAGTGCTGTTAATCATTAATTAATTCCTTCGCGGTCACGAGAAAATCTGTCATAATTTTTATTTTATCAATTTTTGGAGCTTTCAAAATGGTGGGACCAATGATATATTTTCGACCCTACTTTTAATTGGAGTGCATTATCAAATTTTTTTACTGTTGAATTTTGGAGCATTATATAATTTGAAAACATTTTTTTAGCTCCATTTTGGGACATACTTGTTTGGATTCTAAATTTAGAAGCATTTAAAGATGTGAGAATTATAAAAGCAGTGCAAAGGATAACATAAAGTTAGAAGCATCACTTGAAATTCGAAACCTAAATCTCAAGTCATTACACGGAAGGACATGAATAATAAAAAGGCATTCCATTTACTTTTTGGAGGATAGCATGGGAATAGAGATGTAGACGAGTACAATCGAGTTAGACTTTAGCTTTTAATACTCGAACTCGAACTTGAACCTAATCGATCTCTGCTCATTTGATAAATGAGCTTAAATTTAACTTGTTTATCTAAATTAACGAGTCGAAGTTGAACCTTAAGGGAGCGATGTAAAAAAACCAATCAAAACTCAAATTTAACTCAACTTTAATTCAACTCCATTATCTTCAATATTATCAATATAATTAAATAATATCAACCAATCATTCTTTCACATCACATCAACTTTAATTCACTATTCATCTACTCACATAATTTTAACTAACTATCAGTTTCAATCATTTTCTTCTACTTTTACATCAAATCAACTTTAATTATTTTATTTTAAATATGATTTTAATATATCCACTAACAACTAACCATACCACATTTTTTCGAACTTAATTATAGTTAAAAAATTACCAGTTTTTTACTAATTGAATTCATATCCAATCATCCCCTAAAGAACTGAAGTACGAAAAAATTTAGAATACTGCGAAGAAAAAAATATATTTAAGTTTTAATGAGCCAAGTTGTTGACCGAGCTCGAGCTTTAACGAGCTGAGCTCTACGTGGGAGTAATCCTATTATAAACTCATAATAAACTACTCAACTATTTTGGGAAAATGTATATTATATAGAAATATTCTACTTTTATACATATATGACATCATATTATGAACATAAATAATACCTAATCGATAATGCCCGACTAACATCTGTTGAATTGGAAAACATTGGGAACCTTTTTATGGGCACTTGATGAGTTGATGAGGCAACATTCGCAGTTGATTCTCATATCTTTAGTTGGCAACAATTAAATAAAATATTGTTGTGGCCCATCAGAAACATGTTTGTATTATGGGCCATGTATTCAATTTGGACATTTTCTATTGGACATGCATTTTTATTTGTGCCAGGCTGCTCTTATCTGGAGTCCAATGACTGTATAAATGATTTTATTTGGCGTTTATTTGCCATTTCTTTTCTATTTCTTATACCATTNNNNTTTGCTAAAATTAGATTAAATATAATTTATCTAATAAAAACTCACATAGAAATAACAAAACATATGGAGAAGAAAAATCGTATATTATACACAACATTATTAGTTTGGTTTGATGTTTTGGTAAGTCGTCTTCAGCATAAATTAAGATTTTCAAAGTCGACCGGCTAGCTTGTTTATAAATAAAAAAAGTTCCTAAATTGGGAAAAAATAAATTGATTAGGCAGTATATGTCATTTCCTCAATACATTTTTTTTTCCCAATATCAAAATTGAGAATGACAGACGATTCTTTCAATTTAATTTCCTCTAAAACCAAGCAAAAAATGATATCGTCTTGCTCCATAGAGAACAAAGATATAATGACTTGTTGAATTCATTAAAAAGAAAAAGAGAACTCATACTAAATTAGACCTTGACTACGAACTTATGGGGGTGTTTATTTAAAAGGGATGGTCAAAGCATGTTATTATTTAAATGACCCTTTCAACTTTTTTTTTGTTCAAATAACCCATTTATTACATAAAGATAAATATATAATAAAAATGCCTAAAATAACCTTATCAACATATTAAAAAAAAAAAAAAAA